AATTACCATTCATGAATATTACTTTGTGTTTAATTACAACTTTATCTATGAAACTAACTTCAAGTTTCACAATGCTGTCTAAAATCAGGAGGAAGGGATCTATTTCTTAAATAATAATTTGCAAATAGATGTATTTTCAATATTATGTCAGAGAAAGTCATTAAATATTCATCTACCGCAGTTCTTTTTACCCCACATTTGACCTAGTAGGCTCTCCCCATGATCCGTGCTTTACAGATAGTGTAGAAATAAAACTGGGGCCAACCAGCAGGAGAACCAGTCTTCCTATTCTGCTCTTTCTTTAGCAGTGAATTCCCACCTAGAATCAAAATTCCTGTGTGGCAAGTGCATGTGGATGAAGAATAAGTGTTTGATGATCAAAAAATGAAGTAAACATTTGTGAGACTCAGCCTCATTTCAGCTTTTTATGAGTAGATCTGAGATATTTTTTGTTCTGAGTCTCATTCTTCTTCCTGGGAATATATTTCTGCTGATTTAGGAGGCAGTGACCTTTCAGGATGTGGCTGTGGACTTCACCATGGAGGAGTGGGCTTTGCTGGATCCATCCCAGAAGAAGCTCCACAGAGATGTGATGTGGGAAAACTTTACAAATGTGACTGCTATAGGTAAGGAAGATAGATTTATGCAATCAGGGAGCATTGGTTATTACCCTTCAGTGCCATTTTCTTTACTGGAATATGGAAGTATTTTTGATAAATCTTCCAGGCATGGTCACTTTGTACCATGAATCTAATTGGAAGATAATAATTTGTATGTAATGTAGTAACTCATCATTACATTTCTTTTTCTACACTTTAGGAAGAAACTGGGAAAACCAGCAGCAAATTGAAGATGAGTACCAAAACTTCAGGAAAACTCTAAGGTAATATGCACTAACAAGAATATTCCTCAAAGGTCAGAAATATTAAAACCAAGCAAACTACACAAATGAGACATGTTAAAAAAAAATACAGAAAGCCAGACTTGGTGACATGTGCCTGTAATCCCAGCACTTAGGCAACTGAGGCAGGAGGATTGGTAGGAATTTGAGGCCAGCCTGTGCTACATAGTGAATTTGAGACTGGCCTGAACAATGTAGAAAGACTCAAGAAAACAAATAAAATGAGGCCACGTTCAAATTCCTATCATTGCACAAAATTTCTCCAGAGATGAATACATGTTTAGTATCTAGAATTTGGCAATTGAATATTTGAAATATGTCAATATTTGAAATGTAGGGAGTATTGAACTTATGCCACAAGTGGCATCTAGTGCAGACCAATACACATTATTTTTCATGCTCAAGATTATAAAAGTCTTACATGAAACTGTATGTAGGTATGGATGAAAATTATATATATGTAAATTTCTGAGAGTCAAGTGCAACATATCTAATTACATATGTCTATTTTCAAAAGACTGCTTTTTTAAAATCAGACAAATTGTGAAAGTAATGCCATATGTATTTCAATGTGATATATGCATTCAGTATTTGCAACATTGGTAACATTGAGGAATTATTCAAAATCTAAATCAATGCTCCTGGTTTGATAATATCTGTTTTCAAACAATCCTCAAAAGCATTTAGTCTATTTATGTTCCAAAATACAGTACTCAAAGACACTGTCTCATGTTGGTGCGAATGTCATTGTAGTTTAACATCTATGGAAATGTGTATAGGGGTTGCTCAAAAAAAAGTAAAAGTAGAACTTCTGTTTTATCCATCTATAATTCTACTGGGTGTATTCCCCCAAAGTTAAAATAATCATATTAAATGGATACATGCATATCCATGTTTTCAGCAGTAAAACTTACAAAGTGAAACAGTCTAGACAGCCATTCAAAGATGAGTAGAAAGGAACAATGGGATAACTTGGCCAGGATGGAGCATGCATGGAAGCTGAGGCACATTCATACTTAGCCTGAGCAACTTAGTGATTGATAAGAATTAACCTCATAATAAAAGATAAATAACTCTGAGAATGTAACTCAGTGCTAAAACCTTGGGTTCATTCTTCAGCATTCTTCAGAAAATAATGTGGTGTGTGTATATAATGGAATGGTATTCAGCCATAAAGGAGAATGAAATGATATCATTTGCCAAAAAAATATGGATGGATCTGGAGCATTAAAGAAAATAAACACAGAATATTCAATATCATGTGTTGTATTTTGTATGAAAATTGCAAGATATGAATTAAGTAAAATAAAGGAGAGATGTTAGAGAAAAGAGAGGCAGATATTTTGGAGAGGGTAAAGAGGCTCAGTGGAAGGGGGATGGGTAGGGTGATAGAAGAAAAAGGTGTGAAAAATAATCAGCATATGGTGTATATGTACCACTTGTTCAAAATGAAAATCAACAGTATGTAGTATTATAAACATATCAATTCCAAACTC